TAGCAAATCCCTGAGGAGTACACGCGTATGACACCCTTGTCTATTGTGTTGACGCACTAAAAGGCCTTCATTAAAACATGAATTGTATATTTAGAAATGCAGTGCGTAAAGTGAGTCTGCGGTCACACACACACACTGAATAAGCCACTTTCAGTGCACTTTCCAACTGGATTTTGCCAGTTCACACAGTAAACTCGAGTTGGAAAGTGCACTGAAGTGGATTATTTCGTCTGTGTGAGAGTGCAGCCTAAGTTGTCTTGGGAGGTTGCCGATGAAAATCAGTAGGAGAGGCATCACTGCCAGATCCAGAAGCCCCATTCTGTGCAGAGGATTCTGGGACACATTCTGGGTCATGCATTTTCTTCCTGGAAGTGCCATCAGTCTTAAAACACACCTAGCCAGGGCCGGCTCACTCACTAGGTGAACTAGGCAATCGCCTAGAGCGGGCCAGCCCTTAGGGGTGCCAAACTGCACCTGGCCCCGTACTCTGAGTTTCTTGATTATTTGTGTTTTTCATTCTTCCTAAAATGCATTTATTTTTGAAAATGGCAGACGCGGGGGGGGGGGCGCCAGAAGGGATCCACGCCTAGGGTGCAAAATAAGCTGGGGCCGGCCCTGCACCTAGCACCCCCTGCAACTATACGCTGCAGGTGAAGATTAGTAGCGGGAGGGCAGCACATCCTTTGGAGAAACCCCGTGCTCTAGTCTTTCCTCATAATTTTGGAACCCCAGTAGACACCCCCAAGAAACCGCCACCACTCCTGGGAAGGCTGTTTGAAAACTACTAGGTACATCGGTCCCTAGAAAGCCTGTAAGGTTTAGTTGTACCCTGAATTGACTGAATTGTTGATGGGGCCTTCTGCAAGCCCAGACTTGGGTGATGGAGAGCCGCTGTCCTGGCAGCATTCCCCCTTGCACCCGGGGGAGTCTGCATTCTGAACTGGAGCTTCATCTCACGTACCCGGGTATACTCTGATGGGCCACATGGAAGCTTTGTTGAAGGGTCTTTTTGAGAAGGGAATAGAATAAAGTCTCGTATCTCTTATATCCTACCACATGCTCCGTCTTTTGCTTCCGGGTTGGCTGCTGGGGCCCAGATGGGACCTCTCTAGGAGGAAGAGTTGGCCCAGGGACTGCGTAATTGCCGACCACCAGAATAAACAAACCTGGACTCAGAGCCACTTCTGCCTTCTCCTTTTTCAGCCCTTCCTGCTTTCATTCATTCATCTCGGAGGATCTCCCCACCCCCACCCCGCCGTCAGACAGTTTACTGCTTCTTGTTTCTGTTTCTTGTCTTCAGGTTAGTGCATTCAGGTCCGGTGAAGAGCTCTCCGCAGCCTGGGACAGATGTCTCCTTCGCCACTCGCACAGGAACGCGGCAAGGGATCGAGACCCACCTCTTTAGGACGGAGACGAGCAGGGACCTGTCTCTGTGGACCCGCAGCATAGTTCAGGGCTGCCACAATGCAGCGGAGCTGACCACGGAAATCGCAACCGGTGAGTCAAAAACCCAGAGAGACTCTGGCAGAGCTCTTCAGCTGCTACTCCCAAGGGAGAGCGGCGGGCACGAGCGCTTTGTCTCTGTTCCTGCTTCTCTTGAGTTCAGTCACCAGTTTCAAAAGCACTGGCTTTTCATCAGCATTCACAAGAACCGGTGGAGCAAGGCCAAAGAACGGCATTGCCCAAGGGGGAGAGGGAAAACAATCACAGAATGACAACAAACCAACAAGATCAACTAAAAGCCCGAGAAAATAAAAAAACGATTGAACCCAGTGCCTGAAACTAAAGATGCTCAGGCAAGCAAAGAGTGTTCTATAAAGGAGCCACTGCAAAACAGGCCTGCTCTCTGGAAGCCCCCCCCCTTTGAGCCAGTTTAGTGGTGTGGTTAAGAGCAGCAGACTCTAATCTAGAGTACCGAGTTTGATTCCCTACTCCTCCACATGCAGCCGGCTGGTTGGCCTTGGGCCAGTCACAAGTTCTCTCAGAGCTGTTCCCTCAAGGACAGTTCTCTCAGAGCTCTCTCAGCCCCACCTACCTCACAGGGTGTCTGTTGTGGGGAGGGGAAGGGAAAGGATATTGTAAATTGCTCCGAGACTCCAAATGAAGGGCAGGGTATAAATCCAATCTCCTCTTCTTCTTCCTTTCCTAACTGATTGGCCTGGATTATCTGAGCCCGGCAGGGTTAGGTATGGAGTTCACGTGAGGGCCTGGAGTGTAACAAGCAAGAGGCAGGCTCAGGCAGAGGTCCCCAGCCCTTTCCAGCTTGTAGGCACCTTTGGGATTCCGACACAGGGCAGCAGGCCCAGTCACAAAATGGCTGCCACAGGCAGTGGAGCCAACCACATAATACCAGGGAGTGAGGTAATATAGAACTCTGATAAGCTGCTGTTCAACATCTCAGGCACAGGCTCTGTTTAGCAGGATGCCTTTTAAACTGCGCAGCCAATCAGAAGCCCTGCTGGGCAAAAATCCCATCTAGTCCCACCCACTTCCTGAAAGGCGCCAGGAAAGGTGTCGGCAAGTGCCCAGGCGCCATGTCAGGGATCCCTGCTCTATGGAGAGTTGGGGGTTAAGTGAAGAAACCCGTCTGAAAGTGGAAGATTTGAGAGTGCAGGCAGGCAAGCTGGCAGCTTGAAGAGGGGCGAGTTGTGAAATGGAGCAGCAGCAGGAGCGACACCAGAAACAAGACCGGAAAGCTGTAGTGAAACCCGAAGTTGGGTCTTGGCCAGGCAAAGATCTAGGCTTGGCCTGGTAATAGCCAAGGCAAATGGGGAGGAATCAATTTTGCATGCACTTGTGTATGTCTCTGTGTGTGTGTGGCAGGAAGACAATACAGCCCCCTTCCTTTTCCACTTCGTAGCTCTGAGTGCCTCACCAGGACATGGAGAGGCTCAGTTCATTTCCCAGCTGCTCCTGCTTTGGCACTGAGATGTGTTGCTGGGCCCAAGACGGATTCTTTGTTCATCATGACCGCACTTCTCTTTTTATCCTGTCCTTCCTCTAAGGAGCGCAGGGCAGAACACCTGGTTCCCCCACCTACACCAACCCTGTGAGGTACGTTAGACTGAGAGGTGGTGATTGGCCCAGGCTTCATGGCAGAGCAGGGATTGGATCTCCAGTCTCTGAGTCCAAGTCCATCACTGTACACACTATACAAGATATGTCCTGGCATACACTGGTAGGACTTCCTGTACAAAACGGTGGGAAACCAGGTAGGGTTGAGGCTTCCCCCCAGGTTTCAACCATTTGAATCCAACTACCGTTTAGTGCCACCTACTTCCCAAGTTTTTCCTCTAATCCTGCTGATGTTCAGTCAAGGTTGCCAATTATTGGAGCTTGTTTCCAGTTAGTAGGGGAACTAATTAACACACACACGCACAGGCTTCCGGTTGGGGGAAAATGGCGATTTGACGCACCTTGCAATCGCGCAGGGTGGACGGGGGCTCCTTTTGACAGTTTGGGCGAGTTTACAGCCCAACGCAACCTCCCTCAGTTAGGGGGAGAGTCTGGCAAGCATCAAAACCCAAGAGAGAGTTGAGATTGGTGTGATTAAGCCTTGGAGATACTCTTCAGAGACTTTCTGTGCCATTTTTGCTTGTTGCTCCTTGGAGAAGCACTCTCTTTGAATGTGTGTATTTGGAAAGCAGTGTCATCCATTTGGATCTTAGATGGAAAAAAAAGATGTGATTTAATATTGGTGTATTCAGAGGAAACCCTTGAGCATGTAGCGGGTGAGGGAGAAAGGAACCAACATTGTAGTACAACGGGGAAGATTTTTATGATGTACATACATAGAACAACTTTATTTTCAGGGGGAAAAGCTGTGGCTCAATCTCGTAGTCCGTGCTTTGCCTGCAGGAGTTCCCAGGTTGTCCCTGACATCTCCATTTAAAAGGATGGCAGTTGAAGGAGCTCTTTCTCTGCTTGAGACCCTGGAGATTCATTGTCAGCTAGATAGAACAGTGGTCCTATTCAGTCTAGCACACCATTGTATGAAGTTCTCAAGAATACAGAACTGTATCACACAAGGAAGAAGAAGAGATTGGATTTATACTCCCACCCTTCACTACCCAAAGGTGTCTCAGAGCGGCTTACAAACTCCTTTCCCTTCCCCTCCCCACAACAGACACCCTGTGAGGTAGGTGGGGCTGAGAGAGCTCTTGACAGAAACTGCTTTTTTTTCTCAAGGACAGCTCTTATCAGAACTATGGCTTTTGCCCAAGGTCATCCAGCCAGGTGCAAGTGGAGGAGTGGGGAATCAAACCCGGTTCTCCCAAATTAGAGTCCGTGCACTTTACCACTACACCAAACAAGACTCATAGCAAAGGGAATGTCCATAAACCAACATCTAGTTATTTGGTAGTGTGGCACAGCGGTTTACGGTGTGCGTCTAGGATCCCCAATTTCAGACCTCCACTCTAACATGAAGCTCACTTGGGTGGGTTATCTTGGGCCAGTCGTTTTCTCAGCTTCATCTTCCGCACAGGCTTGTTGTGGGCATTAAATGTGGAAGATGCACCACCCTGAACTGGCTTGCAGGGAGTACAGGATAAAAATGTGCTGGGTAGAAAGACACATAGATGGACAAGTTGGTGCAGATCTTTCCAAACACAAGATCTTGATTTGGGTATAGCGCATAGCTGGACTGGGGTCGCAGGGCTGTAACCCTTTCAAAGGAGGTAGAATAATTTCCCACCATCCACTTAGAAGGGGGGAGGAGGAAATGGGTAGTCTCTCTGACACAGGGCAGAGTTGGCATCACAGTTCTCACTGGAGTCAAACCGGTTCCAGTCCTTGCCGAAAAGGGTCAGCCTCCTGTGTATTACTTTTGTTTCTAAATCCGCTCTCCTTTTCTGCTTGCTTCTTCAGCTTGTACCTACAAGAACCAAGAGTGCCGTTTGACCATCCATTATGACCATGGGTTCTCTCTTGCAACTGAACCCCAAGACGGTGCCTTTTCCAAGACAATTGTACAGTTTCCTTACGAGAAGCTAAAAATGTCCTCGGACGATGGGATCCGGATGCTTTATCTAGACTTCGGAGGAAAGGAAAGTGAAATTGTAAGTTACTTTTGCGCTGAACCTTGGACGTGGGTTCTTGCCACCTGCTATCTGCTAAGTGAAAATGTTCCGTGAAAGGGACAGGGGTGAGTCAGTAGTGCAGGGAACAGCTGTGCTCTGAGTCAGGCAGGGTAAGAATTGGGAAGGTCAGATTCCAAGCCAAGAAACCTAGCCTCAGGAAAGGGCTCCTGGCATGGCTGAAAATAATCAGGATCACGTGTGTCTTCTGCAGAGAAGACATTAAAACTCTGCTGCTCCGATTTTCGTCCAAGAAAAGGTGGAGTTCTGAGACCCGTATATACAAATGGAGCTTATTTGACAGTGCGGTTGTAGGGTTAGCAAACATTCTTTAATTTATTTCATTTCCCATAAGTTATATGGCAACGTTTACTATTTTGTATGATTTTAGAACCAGTTTGGTGTAGTGGTTAAGTGCGCAGACTCTAATCTGGGAGAACCAGGTTTGATTCCCCACTCCTCCACTTGAACGTGGCTGGATGACCTTGGGCAAGCCATAGATCTGGCATTGCTGTTCTTGAAAAAGAGCAGTTTCTGTCAAGAGCTCTCTCAGCCCCACCTACCTCACAGGGTGTCTGTTGTGGGTAGGGGAAGGGAAAGGAGTTTGTAAGCCGCTCTGAGACTCCTTCGGGAAGTGAAGGGCGGGGTATAAATCCAATCTCTCCTTCTTCTTTATTCTGGTCTTGATAGCTGTAGGTGCAAAGACTGAGACTCACTCTTCAGCCATTTGAAACCTCGGTATCTCTGGCTTGTAAAACGGAAAGCTGAGGTTACAGGGAAGTGGAATTCTGTGCCCTCTGCACATTCTGCAGTCGCTCACTAAACCAAACACCTAGAATCGCCCCATCCCCCGTTATTTTCTTATCTCTAAATCACTAATCCGGACGCAGTCCTAGCAATCTAATGTCAAGTTGAGCAGGTGGAAGGACCTGTCGTGAAAAAGTCATGAAATGATGGAACTTGGCTGTGAAAAGACTTACAAGGCTACCTGTGTAGTTCTACCGACCATTCTAAGTGCTGGGGCAGTCATACGCTTGTTAGAAAAAAAATCAGTAAGTACTGATCAGCTGTTAGGGGACTAGCTGTGATGCCCACAGCTACCAGTAGCAGAAGGGCAGGGACAGTGGCTCCATGCATGCAGTCTTGGGAGCTCCCCACATGCAACGCGACCAAGGCTTCTCTTAGAAAAGCTACACATTACCTGCGTCTGTGAGCCCACCTATGTAATGTACAAATGCTACCTGTGGGTTTGCTTATAGCAGGGGTACCCCCCATGTGGTGCCCACGGGAGCCATGGTGACCGCCAGTTGTTTTTATTAAAAGGCATCCTGTTAAGCAGAGCTATTGCTTTAAACATTGTAGGCTTACTGTGAGAGTTAGGCGTAGCCTTGCTCACTGAAATGTTGTGGTTGGCTCAGCCTCCTGCAGCAGCCGTTTTGTCGTTCTGTCCACCGCCGCGTGTCAGAGTTCCAGAGAGGCCCACATTCTCAAAAAGGGTTAAGGATACCTGGCATATACTATTTAAGTGATGCTCAGAAATTTCAAAAACCAAAACCAAAAGCCACGCTTTTAGGGAGACCAACCAAAATAATATGATACAAAATAATATGACGCGGCCTTTGAGCTCTGCAGAATTCTTCAACGAGCTGGATGTTTAAAAAGAATAAAGGGGAAAAAAACACATTAATTTCTCTTCCACGGGTGATTTTTAAGCCCAGTTCACTCACAGCTCGTTTTCTCTCTCTGCCTCTCATTTTCAGCAACTGGATCTTCACTCTTGTCCAAAGCCAATCGTGTTCATCATTCATTCCTTCCTTTCAGCCAAGATTACAAGACTCGGTCTGGTAGCATGAACTCTGTCCACTGAGGGGGTTTTGCACGGAAGAAAAATAGGAACAAAGAGCTACCAGGCTAATCTGAATTGCAAGAGACAGCCTGGCCACAGGCGTAGCTGCAAGCAACATGCATAACTGTTTTGTGCAGGGACTTCGGCCGTGTTGGGGGGCACAGCCCCTGTGCTTGGATCAGTTACAACAACAAAAACGCAGAAGGAATAAGAATAATCAAGGAAACCAGAGAGAGCAAGAACATTCGCTTCAGCTAACACTGATTTGCAAAAGGGGGGTGGAATGTGGGAAACACAACATAGCTCACTATAAATAACGGCAGACTGAGTATTGAAGGAATAATCATATAAGACTACATAGAAGTATTTCAGATTCATAACTGTGCCTCTTGTCAGTGATACAGAGCAGTAGGTTTTAACCCAGGCTCTGAAGAATTTGGGGGTTCCTTGGGATCATCAGAACTCCCAAGAGAGAAGACCAACATCAGAGGCCTGGCTTCCCTGAGAGATAGCTTGTCCCTACTTAACTGGTCCTCCAGTGCAACGTGCAGCCACAAGTAAGCATGGGGTGCATTCTAAAATGCAGTCTTTATGGTGAGCAGAGGAAACAGCCCGAACGAACAAATGGCACGTCACAAAACACAGCCCAGACTCCTCTGCAACATGTCGAGTTTCTGTGGCACATAAAGGGATGACACCAGAATCCTTTTGAGAGTAGGAAGGCTTGAAACACCACGCTTGGGAGCAAGGGCTGAGTGAACAGGAGAGGATACGCTAGGCATTTACTCGGATCTGACCAATGAAATAGTGAGACACTCAGCTTTTCCGCCGAGCCACCTTCCGCTTTTGAGAAAACGGCAGGAAGAGAACACCTTTCTCCTACTGATAGGCCAGGTAAACAGCTGCCTAGATGCTAGAGCCACACAAGGTGAGAATGGCTTGAAAGCCCAAGGTGTTCGTGCTCGCCTTCCTCCCCAGTGGTCCACCAATGCCATGGGATCGCTGCATAGTTTGGGGTTGGCTGGGGACAGCCGGAGCCTGCTGCAGCAGCAAGGTAGTACCCCCAAGCCAGACATCACTCAAGGAATCTGGGACAGGGTGACTCAAGTGTCCTCCTTACTTAGGATGGACAAAAGTCCACACCAGCCACTCCTAACATTTGGCTTCAGAGGCTACTGTGTTCATCCTGCTGGTGAAATTTAAAAAGCTGCTTTAAAAAAAATGGCTTTATTCATTAAATACCTTCCATAATAAATTCAGAGATGCACGATGCAGTGCTAACCATTTTAGTAGAACTACAGTGAAAGCAGCAAGGGAAAGAAAATCTATAAAGCCCTTGTTGGCATTCAGTTTTCATTTACAGGCCATGTTTAGAACCGAGCCTAGGCTGAAGGGCCAGCTAGCTTGCCCCTATGGACTGGCTTCCACACGAGAGACCTTCCACCCCAGCAGGAATAGCTGCTGAGACAAGCCCACCCTTACGGTGTGTCCTGACCCACACATAGGTTCGGGAAGTTGAGGTGGGCAACTTGGATGGACCTCTGTTCCAGTTTACAAGTTCTGGGGTGGGGTATCTAAGGGGTCAAGGTTCACAGGGCAGGTGAAAGGGGAGGGGGGGCAGGTTTAGCCAGGCCTTATCGTTCCCTATCATGAAGTGTCATTTTCCAGTGGTGTACAGTATGACAGCGATATTGCTTGAAAGACTTTGAATGCACCAATTGCTTTCTGGCATTTAAAAAAAGCAGGGGGGTAGACTGTCTGCAGAAACTATATGATTGGAGGGCCGGAGCTAGTGATTTTGCAGTATTACAAATATCCACTTTCAGATCTTCTGGAACACAACTACCTTTGATGTCCTTGGGCTGGCAGGCACAAAAGGAACTCTCTCGTTTCATTTTAATTGTGCTCCTTGGAAGCAAGACATAAATCTATTTAATGTTTCCCCCCACCACTACCAAACAGAGAGAGATGTGATTTTTGTGTATATGCTAATCCTTAAAAAGATCTTTGTTCCCCTAAAGAAGACACACCCACCTCCCATCCATAAACACTTTAGTGCTAGCTGTTCAGATCCTGTGGGGATAGAGGAACGGATACAAGTGCAGCATTTCTGATCTCTGAGCCATGGCCAAAAGAGTGCTTTGCAGTGTCACACGGACTGTTGTCCGAGAGGTAACACAAGCCAGGGTCTCTCAACTGAGATTCGAGATCAGAATTTGAAGCTGCTAAAGCAACTCTGCGACTGTGTTAAGAGCAAACTTGGGTAGCAGCAGTAATGGAGTAAATCACAGCAGTAGTTTAAAATGGGCAGGAGAATTCAGTACTATAGGAAGGAAGCATGTAGACCCCACATCTTAACCACAGTTAAAAGACTAGGAGCATTACTTATATCCCAGTCCTAAACTGGGCTGGTATATAAAATCGCCCTCTTCCATAGAAGGTCTAAAACAAGAGCCCTTATAGCAATTTTTAGTAATCTTGAGGAAGTTTAAGAAACCTGCTTTCGTAATCCAGCGCTCTAAAACAAAATGTCTGCGTGCACATGGGTCTCCACATTCACTTCAATGGAGAGAAGAAATATATTAACAGATCTCCTCCCTCCATTAATCTGGGACATCTTTGAAAGAAGGGAGCCCCTCCGTTACAGGGAGAATGAGAGTCTCTGTGTCTGACAGCTAAAAAATGGTAGGCATTTCAGATCAAATTACCATTTGTAAAAAGTTAACACAAAGAATTACCAGCCTAAGTGATAACAGCCTTGCATGAATTAAGAAATCTTCCCTACATCTTAATTAACTATGAATGGAAGGGTTTTTTTAAAAAAATACATTTGAATGACAGAAATTACAAATAATCTAGAATATTGTGTACTGTAGGGAGAGATGATACATATGTAAATTGTACTGCTTCTTTAAATATTTTTTTTTAAAAAATCACTGGAATGTTATAGATAAGAATATCTGCCTTGTAAATAATCAGAATTCCTCTATTAGTTACCAACAGTTAAATTACACAGTATGTCATGTAATTTACGGTGCTCAGATTATACTATGAAGAATAAGTGAATAAATAGTTTGTAAAGAGAAATTATTATATATTTATAGACAAATTAAATACAGATTTTGGACTGACTCTTATTTGGCTGGGGATGATGGAATGGAATATATGGAGCTACTCCAGATTTATAAGAGTTTAGTTTAAAAATATTTATATTTTAGAGGAAAATACTATATTTAATAAAATATCATTTATCGGAACACTTGTGAAGCAATATTAATTTACGAAGCAAGTAGTAGGGCTGTTATATGTCAAAAACTGAAAGCATTGATTCAGAGACCATTTGCACTGGTTTAATCCTACTGAAATCTATGAAACCAAGGACTAGCTGTTAGCTTTGGTAACAGTGATTCTCGGTTGATCAGTTAAGCCTTAATGGCTTATATATGCTTTGTTGAAGTAACTATCACACAACCACATGAGCAATATGTATGCTTTCCTGGGGAAGGGCGGCCGCCCCCCCTCCCAAAATACAAGAGAGAGCACATAAATAGTTGAGAAAATATGATATCCCCAGCACAGAAGCACAATCTCAGAGGAAGACATCTGGATGGCATCAAACAGGTTACACCACCGTGCACGTACTGTGCTAAAAATTAGTTGTACGCTGTTCTGGGTCTCTCACAAACAGAGAGGGTGCTCTCTATTTTCTGCCGGTGCTACAATTATCACCAGGCTAGTAAAATGTCAGCTGTTGAGCCGTTCCAGATGACCACTTCAGCACACTTGCACCTGTTGTGTGGTAAAGTGGTGTTTGCCATTTGGCAGGACGAGAGAATGGCTAAGCCATCTCGGGCCGAGAAAGCTCACACCGAGGCACTTCGGGTGCTTGTGGGCTCATGACCAGCAGAGGAGGAGATGATCCTATTTTAGCAGGTTCTGGTGTACCGAGAAACAGTTAATGCCACCACGACAACCCCCCCTCTCCCCCCACACACAAAAGAGTGGTCCCTCACAGCAGAAGCCAGAACATTTACTATGCCCTGAGGCATTACGGACAGTGGATATTGATTGAGGCAGACGGCCCTGGAAGAAAAAAAAAAACATGCCAGATGTATGACTAATTGGAAAAGCTACCTACTGAACTCGCAACCGGAACTGTTTGTTCGAAACCCTAAGGCTGTGCCTCTTTGCTCTACAGACTGGATCTTGTGGGCAGATCTGTGGGCGTGCCTGGTGTGAGTTTGAGAAGCACGTTCCATTGAATGACCTTCCAACTAGGATTCTACAGCAAGTCAAACCTTGACAGTTATTCCAACAAAATGCAGAAGGAGTTTGCTAGCTGGTAAATGGGGGTGTGCATCTGAGTCTACTCGAGCCGAAAATATACCCGAAAAGTATCTTATTGGCAGGGCTATTTTTGGGCAGGTATGCACAGGAACGGAGTTCTGGCTGGCTCCTGAGTTGGCCACACCCAGCAGGAACTCATTAGCATAACAGGCCACACCCAACAGCAGAAACTCATTAGGATTGGCTACATTAGGGATGTGTGGCCTAACATGCAAAGGAGTTCCTGCTACAAAAAAAAAGCCCTGGCTGGGAACATACAAACAAGGTAAACAAAATAAGAAACAAAAGGTGGGTGTGGCTGGATGACCAGACTTCTGGTAACATGGGGGTGTGGCCTAATATGCTAATGAGTTGTGCTATCAGGGGCGTGGCCTAATATGTTAATGAGTTTCTGCTGTTGGGTGTGGCCTGTTATGCTAACGAGTTCCTGCCGGGCTTTTTCTACAAAAAAGCCCTGCTTATTGGTATTTTTCAGGTATATTTCATCCCTCTAAAGGGACTGCAGAAGTTGGCCCAAAGATCAGTCAGGGTGGCGGGGAGCTGAGAGCGCCCTGCCACTGCCGCTCTGTGCTGCCTTCTCCTGCCACCTGGTTTAAACCAGGCGGCAGGAGACAGCAACCCAGCCAGGTTCTGCAAACGGCAGGGAGAGACCCCCCCCACGGCACAGGGATCCTGGGGCCAGCTTCTGCAGCACAGTTTAAATCGCAGTGCAGGAGAAGCCATTTTAACCAGTACCGAGATCCGGAAGTTTTCGGAAATCCTGTGGGTTTTTTTCGGGTTCAATAGACCTGAACTGAAAAATACAGGTTAAACAAAACTGCACACCCCTACTGGAAAATCCTTTTTTTACAGCTAGCTTGTTAACAACAAAAGAGCTGTTTACAGAGTTAAGCACCTCTTAAATTATACAGACAGGAGAGGAAGAAAGATAAAGCTGTCAACAGTTACAATACTTGGCTTTTACTGCTCTGAATAAAAACCTGTACAAGCCACACAAAATAGCCAAGAGGCTTACATAACAAATACTAAGTAGCTCACTTCAGTGTAACTCTTCACATTTCAGGTCTTCGCATAGAACACACTGAACATGCTGTTGGTTTTAGGCACGTGGGCTCTACTGTAACAAGGCATTCCGTGCGACGTGTCCATTTAACGAACCCTGTCTGTCTGCAGACCGTCGAGGTCTCTGTCATGTGTCACTTCTTGGTGGCCTTTTCCAAAACCCATTCAATCACCTATAAAATACCCCAAGAAAGGTAATTAGAAATGAACATACAAAATAAACATAGTTTAGAGATAATAGAGGAGAAATTCAAAGGTTAAAAAAAGTTGGCCAACAGCTGCATTTAAGCATTGTTTCCCAAAGTGTCTGGATATCAAAACCACGGCAGGTGTTTTGTGGGCAAGGACAAACATTTAGCACCAATTAGATCACTGTGCAACAAATGTCAAAGGGCATGGCACAGATCCTTCCCACCCCATGAGGTAGCCTGATTCAACCCACGGAATGCAAAATCTGACAAAGACCAACACAACTTTTGATAATAAAGTGTCAGCTGTCATTTTGCAATATTGTCCGGTACAGTGAACGTAACTTACAGACAAAACGTGCGTAAGATGGTTACCTGTTTAACATTGCTGTTTGCAGCTTTAGTCATTTCATCCAGGAGTCCCCGAGATGTTTTCAGATCCTAAACATGAAGTACATGACTTCACCCAACGTGTTAAGTAGCAAATTCAACACGGCTGAACAAATTCACCCCAAAATTCATCCTTTCAGGCCTTAATTTGCCCAGACTGCCACTCAGTCTCATTTTGCTAGGTGATCCCTATGGCAGCACGGAGAAAAACATGGGGCATCGCAGAAGACTGGTTTACTTAAAGGGCCAGGGACAAGGGGAGCAAAGAAGGGGAATGGCAGCCTTGGAACAACACACAATTCCATAACAGGCGCTGACAGATTGCCAAACACAGGAGGCAAACTTTAGACATGAAAGAGACAGAGAAATGAGGTAAGCAACTTTGGCTCAGCCCTTGCAGTAATACAAGTCATTCTCTGGATACTATCTTAATGGCCCACTCGTACTGATTCAGCACTTTGCCACAAAACTGCAAGTGTGGGTAGCCACAAAAGAGGCTTTACCCACCATTCACCAACTGATCCCACAGTTTTCCCAGTAATACCATAATGAGTTCCTTTCTGGGACTCAGTATCCTGCTAGCTTAGCTGTGACTATTGCAGGGTGGTTCAGAATGATTATCCTAGCTTGAAGTTCAGCAGCTCTGCTAGACTGCAAAAATGCTCTAATGGTGCCTGAAGTCTTCTTATCTTCCAGCTTCAAAAACACTTTTATGCTGCTTTGTATTTGATGCAACAGACCACAACGACGGGCATTCAGCTGCACTTTCGAACTGACATCTACAAAGGAGATTTTTACAAGATGTCTCAAATTGCCAAATTTCCTTATGTCTAGGGGATGTTTCACAATGATGTATTTTACAAGGCTTTTGTTTGTGGACGTGGTGCTGGAAAACCTGTGCCATCTTACATGTACACTGATCGGAGAGTGGGGACGGGCTCATGGCTCCCCGTCAAGCATAAGAACATAAGAGATGCCAATGTTGGATCAGGCCAAAGGCCCATCTAGTCCAACACTCTGTCACACAGTGGCCAAAAATACCAGGTGCCATCAGGAGGTCCACCAGTGGGGCCAGGACATTAGAAGCCCTCCCACTGTTGGGCCCCCCAAGCACCAAGAAGACAGAGCATCACTTGCCCCAGAGCCCCTATCTATACCTTGTGGCTAAATAAGCAGACACAGGACCAGTGTATTACATAAAACGGCCTTGAGATTTAGCTGCAGAGTGTATGCATTCGATTAAGTCTTGACTACAGGCAGACAGGTACCCACCACCATACATCCTACTGTGATACTAATGTAGTTCAGCTGGTACAGTGTGAAGGAGGCACACATCTGCTCCCTGATGGAGCAATTAGCTTGAAACTCTGGCCTGAATTGGGCTCACATCTGCCCTGCGCCACCCTAACCTTTGGCGGGCTTCTGCTATGAGATTAAGCAATGGCCATCCCCTTATGGAGATGCGGGTGGTTCAAGTGTTCCACAAGGAGAGACAACGCAACTGCCGTGAAGCTTTGCTCCTTCGAGATGACCTCTTAGTGAAGAAAGGCCACTTGCAGATCTGTAGTGTAAAAGCCTGAGGAACTGGAGGCATGTTGTCACTCGGGGAAAAGAAGTGCTGCCGGCGTGCTAAAAGGAGCTTGCAAGCACTTTGCTAAATCCATCCCAGACGTCCCTTGTCAGCCTTGAGCTTTTACCATTCATAAAAACTATTATTCCCAAGGCTGGGTCCCAGGATATGGCCAAAGGGCACACGGTACAGCAACCTCGCTGAAGCTAATCAGATCTAGGGCTGGCTAGTGCCTGGGTGGGGAACTCTGCAGAAGGCACCCAGACTTCCACCTCACACAGCCCACCGAGAGTCCCACAAAAGAAAAAAAGACAGGGTATAAAATGCAATGGATCGATGAAGAGCAAGCACGGGTACCTTTAAATAGAACTTGGATATCTCAAAGAGACGCTGGCTGCAGGTAGTGAAGCACTTGTGGTCTTCAGCAATGCCATGTGCCTGGAGGGTTTTACTCACCACTTCCTTCAGCATCTTGGAGAAAACACAGGTGTATTTAATGGCTTGTGGCCCAATAGGTGATGTGCATCGATTCTAGATCAGATTTTCTTCTGACTAGAATGACATCAAAAAGGAACAATTTTCAGATCAACCCTGCTAAATAGCTAATGTGACACCCAGCATGGTGTAATGGTCACGGCATCAGCCTAGGGTCTGGGAGAGCCACATTCAGATCCTCCCTCTGCCACCGAAACATGCCGGGTGACCTTGGGCCAGCCACGCTCCCTCCGCCTAACCTGCCCGCAGGGAGGATAAAACGGAGAAGTGAATAATAGTTGAGATTTTCATTTTAATGAATGGTTGGTTTTTGTTCTTTGTTGTTGTTGTTATGGTTCGGATATCTGTCTTAAAAATTGTAGTGTAACTGCACATTTGTTGTATGTTCGTTGAAAGTTATTAATAAAATTTTAAAAAAAAAGAACATAGGAGAAGCCAATGCTGGATCAGGCCAATGGCCCATCCAGTCCAACACTCTGTGTCACACAGTGGCCAAAAATACCAGGTGCCATCAGGAGGTCCAGCAGTGCCCCCCTCCCCCCAGCACCAAGAATACAGAGCATCACTTGCCCCAGACTGAGAGTCCTTATCTATACCTTGTGGCTAATAGCCACTGATGGACTTCTGCTCCATATGTTCATCTAATTCCCTCTTGAAGCCGTCCATGCTTGCGGCTGCCACCACCTCCTGTGGCAGTGAATTCCATGTGTTAATCACTCTTTGGGTGAAGAAGTACTTCCTTTTATCTGATCTAACCCGACTACTCAGCAGTTTCATGGAGTACCCACGAGTTCTTGTATCGTGAGAAAGGGAGAAAAGTATGTCTTTCTCGACCTGCTCTATATTACACATAACCTTATAAACCTCGATCATATCACCCCTCGGCCGTCGTTTCTCCAAGCTAAAGAGCCCCAAGCATTTTAACCTTTCTTCATAGGGAAAGTGTTCCAACCCTTTTATCATTCTAGTTGCCCCTTTCTGCACTTTTCCCAATGCTATAATACCTTTTTTGAGGTGTGGTGGAGAATAAATGAAGACGTGAAGAGCTGGGCCTCCCTCGAGAAAGGGCAGGGCAGAAATATACTAAATAAACAAGCAAAACATTACCCACAGACAATCCATGACAGCTGCAACCAGTCATGGTTCAAGAATTCCTGTATGTTACATGTGAGCTCTGAGCAGGAGCAGGAGAGAGAGCTGTGAGAGAGGTGAGTGGGTTTCTTTTACTTGCTTTCAGCTGAGAGAATTCAGCTAAGGATATTTTGTGGGAAAACTGTGTTTAGCAGTGTGTGGAAGCACTTAGAGTTCTTGCAGAGTCCTGGCTGATTGAGTGTGGGAGAGGAACGGGCATTGTTTGACTGGGATTGCCTGTAATTGAGAGGAAGTGGAAGGGGCATTGTTTTGCCTGTGATTGAGTGCCTGGGTGAATTTGAATTTGAATAGCTGCTGCCTGACCTCTGCTGGGGGAGGCCTCTATTTAAGGAAGCACCTTGCCAGAGGCACGAGCTCTTTGTCTTTCCCGTAAAATAATTTGACTTTGATAACAAAAACCACATAAATACCAAGGGTTTAAAAGGGGGATTATATTGTTTTATTTTAAAAGAATTATGAAGCCAGAATGCCAGCAGGGGGTTGGGGGCTATCCAGTGTTTGGCACCGAGTGTCACATGTATGACTATCTGCCCACTGGGCAGAAGTCTTGGGTGTGTCCTCGGTGCAAGGAGCTCCTGGTTCTCAGGGAACGTGTGTGCTCCCTTGAGGCCAAGGTGGCTGACCTGGAGAAGCAGAGACAGTCAGCTAGGCACACAGAAAAGACTCTCGGGGACTTGTTAGCTACGTCCCACTCTGGATCTGGCAGCCCCGCTGCTGTCAGGGAGCATGAGGGTCTAGGGGAAACAGGGCACCATGCTGAGGATAAGGGGAATGTGCCCTCAGAAGGGACCTCTTCCCCAGCTGGTGAGCGGCTCTCCTTTTGCACCAAGGAACCATCCCTGAGCAGGGTGGGAGGGGGGCTCTTGGTAGTGGGTGATTCGATCCTTAGGCAGGTAGACAGCTGGGTGGCGAACCCGCGTACTGACCGTATGGTGACTTGCCTGCCTGGTGCGAAGGTAGCGGACATTACGCGTGTTTTAGATAGGCTGGTAGATAGTGCTGGGGAGGAGCCAGTGGTCGTGGTGCATGTCGGCACCAACGATGTGGGGAAATGCAGTCGTGAGGTCCTGGAGGAGAAATTTAGGCTGCTGGGCAGGAAACTTAGGTCCAGGACCTCCAAGGTAGCCTTCTCAGAAGTGTTACCTGTTCCACGCGCAGGGCCGGAGAGACAGGCAGAGATCAGGAGTCTCAATGCGTGGATGAGACGATGGTGTAGGGGGGAAGGGTTCAGGTTTGTTAGGCACTGGGATACTTTTTGGAACAAGAGGGAGCTGTACAGGCGAGACGGTCTCCACTTGTCCCGAGAAGGAACCAGGCTGCTGGCACTTAAAATCAAAAAGGTGGCAGAGCAGCTTTTAAACTGAATATTGGGGGAAAGCCGACAGGAGATGAAAAGTCTCTGGTTCGGGTTGGCTCATCTGAGAGAGGTGAGGGGGTACCGGTTGCTTTTCTACAGGGAGGTGGATTGAAATTGTCCACAGAGGCCATGGCTGGTGACATGGACTGCCGGACAACGACTCGAGATAGCAAGAGGAAGGATGCAGGCTTAACTTGTAAGGGAAATTACAGCTGTTTCTATACAAATGCTAGAAGTGTCCGAGGTAAAATCGGGGAGTTGGAGTGCTTGGTGTCGGAGGGAAAAATAGACATTGTGGGTATTTCTGAAACTTGGTGGGATGAGGAAAATCAGTGGGACACAGTGATTCCCGGTTATATATTATATCGGAAGGATAGGGGGGGAAGGGTTGGAGGTGGGGTAGCTCTGTATGTCAGAGAGGGTATAAAGTCTAGAAAGATTGAGAGGCTAAGTGAATTGGATTCGCTTCTGGAAGTTCTATGGGTTGAAATAGGGGGGCCAAAAGGAAACTTAACACTGGGAGTTTGTTATCGCCCACCAGATCAAAAGATAGAGGAGGATTATAAAATGATGAATGCCTTAAAGATAGCAACTAGACAAAAACACTGTGTAATAATAGGTGATTTTAACTACCCACACATTGATTGGGTCAATATGTGTTCTAGTCGGGAAAAAGAGATTGAGTTTCTAGACACTCTAAATGACTGTGCTATGGAGCAGATGGTCACGGAACCTACCAGGGGAGAGGCGATCCTTGATTTGGTCCTAAGTAACACTCAAGACCTGGTGAGAGATGTAAAAGTGATTGCACCGCTTGGAAACAGTGATCATAATGTTGTTGAGTTCATCATTTGTACAAATAGAGAATTGGCCAAAAAGACTCACACAACCATTTTTAACTTTAAAAGGGGTAATTTCTCTGATATGAGGGGACACGTGGGGAGGAAACTGAAAGGAAAAGTAGAAAGGGTCAAAACAATTGGGGAAGCTTGGGATCTATTTAAAACTACGATCCTAGAAGCTCAAAAAATATATATTCCGCAGGTTAGGAAAGGCACAAACAGGTATAGGAAAAAGCCTGCATGGTTAACAAACAGAGTAATGGAGGCTGTAAAAAGTAAAAAGAATTCCTTTAAGCAGTGGAAAGCTAGTCACAGTGAGGCTGATAAAACGGAACACAGGCTATGGCAAATAAAATGCAAGTCTGAGGTCAGGCAGGCAAAAAGGGAATATGAGGAGCATATAGCAAAAAACGTAAAAACCAACAATAAAACTTTCTTCAAATACATTAGAAACAGGAAACCAGCCAGGGAGGCAGTGGGGCCCTTGGACGACCAAGGGGTAAAAGGAGTATTGAAGGATGATAGGGAAATGGCTGAGAAGCTAAATGCATTTTTTGCCTCCGTCTTCACTGTGGAAGATGAGAAGTGCTTGCCCACTCCAGAACCACTGATTTCAGGAGGGGTGTTGGAAGACCTGAGTCAGATTGAGGTGATGAGAGAGGAGGTCCTAAAACTGATAGACAACTTAAAAACTGAAAAATCACCAGGCCCAGATGGCATACATCCGAGAGTTCTGAAAGAACTCAAATGTGAACTTGTAGATCTCCTGACAAAGATATGTAATCTTTCCTTAAAATCTGCCTCCATTCCTGAGGATTGGAAGGTAGCTAATGTCACTCCCATCTTTAAAAAGGGTTCCAGAGGAGATCCGGGAAATTACAGGCCAGTCAGTCTGACGTCGATACCGGGTAAATTGGTGGAAACCATTATTAAGGAAAGAATTAGTAGGCACATAGATGAACAAAACCTATTGAGGCAGACTCAGCACGGTTTCTGTAAGGGAAGATCTTGTCTCACTAACCTGTTAGTGTTCTTTGAGGGGGTGAACAAACATGTGGACAAGGGGGATCCAATAGATATTATTTACCTTGACTTCCAGAAAGCTTTTGATAAAGTTCCTCATCAAAGGCTCCTAAGTAAGCTCAAAAATCATGGGATAGAAGGACAAGTCCTTTTATGGATCAAAAACTGGCTAGTTCATAGAAAACAGAGAGTGAGTGTAGGTGGGCAATTTTCTCAGTGGAGGGTGGTAAGCAGTGGGGTACCGCAGGGATCAGTACTTGGTCCACTGCTTTTTAACTTGTTCATTAATGATTTGGAGATGGGAGTAAGCAGTGAAGTGGCTAAATTTGCGGATGATACAAAGTTGTTCAGGGTGGTGAAAACCAGTGAGGATTGTGAGGCACTCCAAGGGGATCTGTCAAGGATGGGCGAGTGGGCGTCAACATGGCAAATGGGGTTCAATGTGGCCAAGTGCAAGGTGATGCACATTGGAGCCAAAAATCCTAAATATAAATACACATTGATGGGGTCTGAACTGGCAGAGACTGAGCAAGAGAGAGATCTTGGAGTTGTAGTGGATAACTCACTGAAAATGTCGAGACAGTGTGTGACTGCAATAAAGAAGGCCAATGCTATGCTGGGGATTATTAGGAAGGGTATTGAAAACAGATCAGCCAATATAATAATGCCCCTATATAAATCAATGGTGAGACCTCATTTGGAATACTGTGTGCAGTTCTGGTCACCACACCTTAAAAAGGATATTATAGCTTTGGAAAAAGTGCAGAAAAGGGCAACTCGAATGATAAAAGGGTTGGAACACTTTCCCTATGAGGAAAGGTTAAAGCGCTTAGGGCTCTTTAGCTTGGAGAAAAGACGACTGAGGGGTGACATGATCGAGGTTTATAAGATTATGCATGGGAAAGAGCAGGTAAAGAAAGAGGTACTTTTCTCCCTTTCTCACAATACAAGAACTCGTGGGCACTCCATGAAACTGCAGAGCGGTCGGGTTAGAATGGATAAAAGGAAGTACTTCTTCACCCAAAGAGTGATTAACACTTGGAATTCACTGCCACAGGAAGTGGTGGGTGCTACAAGCATGGATGGCTTCAAAAGGGAATTAGATAAGCATATGGAGCAGAGGTCCATCAGTGGCTATTAGCCACAAGGTATAGCTAGGGGCTCTGGGGCAAGTGATGCTCTCTTCTTGGTGCTTGGGGGGGGGGTCAACAGTGGGAGGGCTTCTAATGTCCTGGCCCCACTGCTGGACCTCCTGATGGCACTGGTATTTCTGGCCACTGTGTGACACAGAGTGTTGGACTGGATGGGCCTTTGGCCTGATCCAACATTGGCGTCTCTTATGTTCTTATGTGCTCATTACATTCATACGAAATTTAGGTGTGCACTTTAGATGTACAACTAAAAAATGTAACAGATGCACACATTGGCCCTCTCTCCAACCAAGGAACCAAAAAAACTATTCCACTGTTTTTGGTCTGAAGAAGTGAACAGTTAACTTGCTTACCTACTTCCTGGGAATGTGTAATTCAGTAATAAAATATTTAAATTGCCCCTTGAAGCTGAAACTTTGAAAAACACAACTTTTTAAAATCATCACATATGCTTGCCAGGGCTTCCCATTCATTACTGATGGCTTGGCCTCCTTTGATTTCTTCCCCTCTTTGGTGCCATTAGGAGCAGCTGCTTCGCATATAACAATTTCCTGAACTGGGATAATGGTGCAACTGGGAAAAGCATGCATATTTCCCAGAGCGTCAAAACTACACAATGCGCCAAAAGTTTAACATTTTATTATGCTGAATTTTAAACTGTGGAACAGACCAGCCTCTTCCCTAACCGGTCACCTGTGCAAGTTGTGCATTTTCCCCTCCATTTGCTTCTTTATGATGCTAGGGATACAAGAGCATGCGGTGAGGACTGGAGAACTAAGCACACAACATGGGCCAAAGAGGAATATGCAAAAGCAACGGGAGTTATCAGACGGAGTTTCAAGAAGCTGTTCAAAAGGCCACTGAGGAAGGCTGCAAGGCCCTGGCATGGCTTGTGGCTCTCCTATTCAGGAAGAGGAACCTCATAATGATGGTAAATTTGGACTTTGCTCCACTTATTTCAGCTATATTTAGGAATGGCAACCCCCTTGTCCCCTTCGTTTTTAGCCTCCTTGAAAAACTATTTACCCGGGTGTGCTTCTGAGACCGTGATTCCTTTGCTGGCTTTGATGCTTCTGGCTCTTTCGTGCCCCTCCAGCTTGCAGAGCTGTCCTTTGCGGTGACTTTGTGTGCCCTGCTACAAGATGGTTTGGCGGCCACAGAAGACAGGGAGATCGATCTGTCCAAGTCCTGCCTTGTGGCACTTCTTGATCGGCAAGCACCGCTGCTTCCACTTGCCTGGGACAAGAGAGAATCTGTACTTTCGGATTTCATTAACCTAGAAAGAGGATGGGGAAGCAAAAGGGATTTTTTTAAAAAAAGAAAGAAAAATGTATTTTGTAGGGCACTTGTCCTCAGTTCTCATGATAGTGCAGTGATGACCTGCATTGGGGCCTCCAACTTCTTTGAGCACGCGGGCACCTACGGAATTCTAACACAGGATGGTGGGTGCAACCACAGAAATGGCTGCCAGGGGAGGGGGAGACACACACACACACAGAGTCCAAGGGTGGGGAAGAAGAGGGGTAATTTAAACAATGCGTTGGGGAAGAGGAGTGAGAGACAAGAATAAAACGAACACCGTGGTGGTGACTGCCACCAAAGTAATGCTGCTCTAATCTGCACAGCCCATCAGATCTTCACTGGGCAATTAGAAGGCTCCGCTGGGGAAGAAGACCTGGTCCACCTGGTCCCACCCACTTTCTGAAAACACTTGCAGGCACCAGGTAAGGTACTGGTGGGCACCACATCGAGGACCCCCGACCCGTATCAACAACAAAAAGTCATCCTGTTTTGATTGAAAGCATCCTTGTTTCTGTATCTGAGAATTTATTGTGCTTGGCACATATAACTGAATTATGCCAGCTTTGGCGAGGCTGTGCCCTTCAGCCAGCATATTGCAGGATGCAGCCCTACAGGTCTGGAAGGAAAATTCAAGAAAAGAGCGATCATGAGTCTGAAGACAGGATATCTATTCCTGACAGTCCCACTGAAGAATCCAAAAAGGATTGGCAGCTCCTAAAACTCTTAAAGTCCAACTGAAATATGATCAGAATAAAAACAGGAGATAATTAATGCATGTAATGACATTCTGAAAGGTTATTTTGTATTTGAAACTATGATGTACTCAGTTTGGCTAAATGGGCTAGTTTTAGCTTTATTAATCTTAAAATAGGGCGGCCAGTTCTATTCCTGTACTCTTTTCTTTCATACCGATAATGGTAGGAGCGACTATTAAGAATCTTATAGGTATGATGATCCTTGCCTTATCTTTATGTGTTATTGGTTAGCGTTACGGTATCCCGTATTTCCCTTTCCTTTTGTAGTTTTTGTAGTTCTGTAGTAATTAAAAAAAAACACGTTTTCAACGTATTGTACTCAAACGCTACCGAATGGCGATCACACTTTTAAAAAAATCCTTGCGAGTGGACCCTAGGATTATCTGAATACTTAGCTGGGGTGGGTGGGAATTAACTGAAAAAAGAAAGATCCCACACTTCCCCATTTTTAAGTTCAGAATATTACCTCTTCTTGGAACAGAAGCCATCCTGGTCCCTTGATCTGCATTTTAGCTTGGAGACGTCCGTGTGATGGTCCCTTCGTAAAGATTCCCCATCCGGGATGCTTCCGGGCTCCGACAGGACAGCAGGAGAGGGAAGAGGGCTCAGGACACACGGCACGGGGCAGCACTCCTTTGTGCAAGTAGTCTGAGTTTCGTAGCGGATCAGGCGAGTCTGAAGTTCGGCAAACCCCTCGTCTCTTTCCAAAGCTCTTCTGTTGTCCAGGCAGTATCTGGAAGCGCGTTAAAGAGAGTTGCCAGCTGCACAGCAACAGAACTGAGAATTCCCCCGTTAAAAAGAATCGAATATCGCTTGTTTCTCGCTACAAAGAGCAAAACCAGGTTAACATGGTGCCACAACAGTATGAGCTACACCAAACCTCAACCTGCAATGTATTGGCAAGAGCTATCCAAAAATTCACGTCTGTTTTACCACGGTCTATTAAATAGATTCACACTCATAGAAACATCAAGGATTAAAAGACACAAAATATACTGAACTTCATCCAAAGCCTTCCTAACAAAATTCCAATGAACGCTATATTTGGAGCAAGTGCGTAGATGCTGTGGCCTAAACGTATCCCATCTATTTTAGGATTTGCAACAATGAAAGCCCCTATCCTCCTGCGGATTCTGAAAAATGCCACTCCGATAGATGGGACAAGAGTGTGAGATGAAAGGTCCTTGTGCACAGCTGTGCTCCTGCTTACTGCAGCACAGATCCCCTTTCTTCATTCTGCCAAAATGTTCAGGAGGAACGGATGATAATGCGTGGCTTCCAGGGCATGGAGTATATCACCAAATTTATTCTCTGTGTCTGGGGATGCCTGATGCCTCTGACCTTCCCAGTCAGCCATGAGTCCCCCCGCCCCACCCGGGGAAGCTGCTGAGCCACCTAGAGGACATGGAAAGGGAGGGGACGCAGCAACGTACATAGCTGTTGCGAGGAAAGAGCCACCAGTCAGTTGGGCCCTGCGAGAACAAGCACAGATGCGGGAGCCCAGGAGGACACTTGCCCTGCCACTGCAAATGCCCACCCCATCACAACCCACAGGTCTGGGAGCTGGGAGACAGGAGGGCCCAGGGATCTGAAGAAGCTCTATTGGGTCCTGAGTGTAAGGAGATGGAGCAACCTCCCTTTAAATAGAAGGGCTTTCAGGGGGGCGAGGAAGGAGGCTGGAGGGGTCCGCTGGAAACTGGCCAGCCGGAGTGAGAGTACTGGGGTACATTTAGACCCCCCCCCTACACCCATTCTGAGGCCGGTGAACCCTCCTAGGACAGGGCTGGTGCCACAGCAGAGGGCAGGCAAGCAGCCCCCACCAAAGCAATGCCCCACATTCAGATCTGGCAGGCAGTACAGATCTGCACAGCCTCAGCTACATATATAACAGAACAGTAGTGGATTCAATACCAAAGTCTGTTTCCAACAAGAGACAGCTAATTATTCAAGGAAGCCCACAGACAGGGCATGAAGAACCTACAGAAAGCCCCTCTGGATCAGACCAAAGGTCCATCTAGTCCACCATTTTGTTCCACACAGTGGTTAATCAGTTACCCTTGATGGCTCATGAACAGGCAACAACCCTCTGGCTAGCAACTGGTATTCACTGATATACTGCTTCTGGGGCATATTTAGCTAGAGCACCTAGTATCATCACTTCCCACTTCTAGAATCATATGGCCAGGTCCGGTTTGCCTGACCATTCAGTCAATGCTGGTTTAGCACTTGAAGTTCTGGAATATGGAGCTCTGCTTCTGTTATGATTCTCTACATTATCAGCACATTGTGTGTCCACTAGACTGTCTAAGCAAGACAATATTCTTGTAGTTCAGCCAGAAGTATGTTTCCCCCTTAGAATCAACTTAAATAATGAATTTAGTTTTACCACTAGAAAGAAGCTCATGATCTGATAAAACACTTGCTGGTTACCCATTTCATGGCATTTGATTTTTCTTGTTTATATACTCAGTAGGCACTGAAATATTATCTATGTTTAGTAAAACTGTCATTATCCTTATTCTTCCTTTTCTGGGTAATCCATCTGCAGGTGATCATTCCTGATGCTAGGAAAGGTTACACGTATTACTATCCATCTGTGGATCAGAAACAGCACCAAAGGAAAAGGTTACACGTATTACTACCCTTTTGTGGATCAGAAACAGCACCAAAGGAATATCAAACAGGAGAGCCCAAACTAGTATTTTTTAAAGCAAGTTCTCCATGATCTTATGGTGAGTGTTTGGCCATTGTGCACCACACCGGCAACAATATACTTCACTCCCTTAGGAAGGAATTAACACTACCGCTGCCAGCATCTGACTTAAAACTACTGGGCAGCATCCTAAAGAGCATCCTTCTAGCTTATGTGGCTCTTCCCCAAGGGCACTTAAGGCGAGGGAGGCTGGAAGAAGGCTTCCAACTTTGCTTCGCGAAGGGGTAGGAGACAGGCCACCAAGACTGTTAATAACATAAAAGAGAAGCAACTGCCCGCGGCGGGAGTTATTTTCCAAAGCTCAGACATGCAAAATGTGATACGGAATTGAAGGGCAATCTGGAGATCCAGACAGATTGTTGTGAGATGTTCAGACAGGAACAGGAGCTAAAGCGTAGTCTAGCCTCCGCTCCGTCTCCTCCCGTGCTGTACCATCGCCTGCTGCCTCAGCTCAGCACAGCAGGGAAAAGCTGCACTAAGGGCATGGGGGACTGCGGATAGACTGCAGCACACTAGGGCATACATTCTGTGAATGTATGGCAAATGTGCCAGAAATGTATTGGTACTGGTGAGTCAGTTTTACTGGTATTCAGAGCTCATTTCGGGGGGGATCGCGGGGGATCGCAGTTCCCCCAGGTGAGGTACGGGGGGCGGGGCACATGATGAAGCCCCGCCCCCTGCTTCCGGCCGCCCCGCTTCCGGCCCTCATTCAGCCAGAAGGAGGCAGGAGAAGAGGGAGGGTAAGTTGCTTCCTCCCTGCCTCTCCCCACCCCTGCCTGCCTGGGGCCAGGGAGGGCCTTCGCGGGGCTTCCGTGTGGCCTTATGACACACTTCCGGTGATGTCAGGGGGTGTGGCCTTATGACACACTTCCAGTGATGTCGGGGTGTGTGGCATATGCTAATGAGTTATCCTAATGAATTCCCCTAGCTCTTTTTCTACGAAATGACCCCTGCTGGTATTACAGACTTAATAATAGAATGTATAATATCTGGAACATAAAATCCAGTAAGTGATCAACTAACATTCCAATTGCAATGTAAGGTCTAACTTATGAACATATGAAGTTGCCTTATACTGAATCAGACCATTGTTCTATGAAGGTCAGCATTGTCTACTCAGACTGCCAGGGGTTCTCCAAGGTCTCAGGCAGAGAGGACTTTCACATCACCAACTGCCTGGTCCTTTGTACTAGAGATGCCAGAGATTGAACCTGGGACCTTCTGCATGCAAAGCAGATGATCTACCACTGAGCCACAACCCCTCCCAGACTTCAGCTTATGGACACATTGCTATTCTTTTGTAGGTCATACATAATAGTTCTCGGTCTCAGGTTTGTACAAAATGTTGGTGGAAATGTTCAGGGTGAAACACATTAGATTTTTCCTTACAACTGTTTACTACCAGAAACTCAAGACAACAGTGTTCAACTGAAATTGCTCTTGATTAATCAATTAACCTTAGGTTTTAATATTAAAAAGGCTTTTCCCTCCAAGTCTGGTAACTTTTTATTTATAATTCTCAAACTTCAGAGAAGGCACATAGCTACTTCACAATCTGTGAAGAGGCACCTAACCGTGAGATTCTGGTAAATTAATTTACATTTCAATCAGTTAATATGTGAAGGCTGCAATCTTATACATGCGTACTTGGTTGTAAGCCACATTCAACACAGTGGGACTTTTGCCTGTGCAAATGGGTTTGGTCGTAAGAGACAAATGAATAAACAAGCAAAAGAGACAGATGAGTAAATAACCAAAACAAAATAACCAAAACATTTGATTTCAAGGCCCTGAGCCTGCTTTGGCGGGGAAGGCAGGATATAAATCAAATAAATAAATAAACATAATAACTAAACAAATGAAACAGGAAAGTAAATTAAGATTTGTACCTCCCCTAAGTTGACCCAGCTTTGGAACTTTTCAAAATTACAGTGAATGTATTTTGTTCCTAGCTCAGCGTCTCTCTTTTCATCTGTATTCAGCTACTGGAAAGAGTTATCATTAGTAAGAAATGAAGACTGCTCATTAGCATGCATGCTGTCCTACTAGGCCCTTCAAAGTATTTAACGATCAATAACAACCAGCAGCTCAGCCCACGAAAGCTTGAAGAAGTCCTTTGAAGACGAGACTAAACCACCTAAAGCCAATTGCCCTGCTTAACTATTCCTGTATTTTATACATCAATACCAAGCTGCCGGGCAGACAACAGCAACCACCCTTAATGCACATGGAAGACTTCGCCACTTAGCAAAGCGGGGGTGGGGGATGGGACACGAGTCCTTGTGCTTCCTCTTAGAGGTCTTTATGAGTATGCCACAGGGATCAAAGAGATGAAATATCCTGGGCATTCCGGGAGGTTACATCACTGCCACTAATTCAGCACTTCCCAGTTCTGAGGCTTTACCTCCTTGCTCAGGTGGAGGTTCGTACAAGTTCAGCATATTCTGACATACCCAGAAAAGTTCCCATCTTCCATGTGTCCCATGCAAAGTCAAGTAGGACATAGGTGCTTACCCCAGGAACCTTCTTTAGAAGAACTCCCAAGGGTCTCCTTCCTACCATCACACAAACAGAGATGGCTATCCTGCTTCTAAAGAATCTGAGGGAGCAGAAAGTGGTGCATTTTCTCCATTGTGTGAACAAAGTCCATGTTCTTAGTGCCCAAGAAAAGAACAGCTGGATTTTACACCATGGAACTCAACATTCGACATGTACATATGGCGGCCTGGTGTGTGTGTGTGTGTGTGTGTGGCTGCTATCAGACAAGACGCAGAGAACAACATCCAACAGGGTGGTGGTGGAAAATACCATCAAGTCGCAGCCAACTTGTGGCCAGCCCCATAGGGTTTTCAAGGCAAGAGCTAAACGGTTTTCCATTGCTTGCCTCTGTGTAGCAACCCCGGGCGTCCTTTGGTGGTCTCCCATCCAAGCATTATTAAGCAGGGCCAATCCTGTTTAGCTTCCAGGAACGGGTGACACAGAGCTAGCCTGGGCCATCCAGGTCAGGCCAAATTTCAGCACTGGTTTTGATATTCTTCAATGTGAAATATCAGAAGATATTCTCTCCACCCCAGTTCCTTCTATCCCACCCCAACCCTGTCATAATTTATTTATTTATTATCAAATTTGTACCCCGCCCTCCCCGCAAAGCAGGCTCAGGGCGGCTTCCAACATGACATATAAACAGCATAAAAACAGAATTATTAAAAACACTACAAATCAACAAGCACAAAGTGCTGGCAGCAATTAAAAGTCACTTAAACGACCCGTTTTCAATGGGATTTCCATTTCCCAATGCTCTAAGGTGTTTTTCTGCTCGTAGTTTCCTTAAGGCAACAACTCGATGGTAGCTCATGGGCCAGGTGCTGCAACAGTCGGGCGATCTAATGGTGGTCCAACAGCAGTCCAATGCCGACGGCCCCTAACTGAATGCCTGGCGGAAAAGCTCCATCTTACAGGCCCTGTGGAACTTTGAAAGGTCCCCCAGGGCCCTGGTCTCCTCCGGGAGCTTGTTCCACCAGGTAGGGGCCGCCACCGAAAAGGCCCCGGCCCTAGTGGCTGCTAGTTTGGCCTCCCTCGGGCCAGGGAGGGTCAACCGATTTTGAGACCCAGACCGTAGTGCTCTCTGGGGTATATACGGGGAAAGGCGGTCCCGTAGGTATGTCGGACCCCGGCCATAAAGGGCATCTTGAAGCGGATTCGGTATGCTATAGGCAGCCAGTGCAGTGTCCTCAGCGCAGGCTGGATGTGCTCCCATCTAGGGAGACCCAACAACAGCCTGGCTAGCTGTTGTTCTGCACTAGCTGCAGCTTCCGAATCCGTGACAAGGGCAGCCCCATGTAGAGAGCATTACAGTAGTCTAGTCTTGAGGTGACCATCGCATGGATCACTGTAGCCAGGTCAGCGCAGTCGAGGAAGGGAACCAACTACCTAATCAGCCTGAGATGATAAAAGGCCGACTTAGCAGTAGTCGCTACCTGGGCCTCCATAGTCCAGGTGCACTCCCAAACTCCGAACCTCCGGGGCTGGGACCAATGGAACCCCCTTGAAGGTCGGAAGTGGGATCCCCAACCCCGAACCGCCCCGACTCAAGTACAGGACCTCCATCTTCGCTGGATTCAACCTCAGCCGACTCAGCCTAAGCCAACGGATGGAACTACATTACTCAATGTATACAACTCTCAGTAATTTTCCTTATTGCTTTCATTCAGAGTAAAAGCTACTGTCATAACATTGTGAGTACTCACTAACAGGAAAAAAATTATAGCTATTTGAATAAGAGAACTACAAATTTTATTTTGGACAATTAATGTTAGCAAATTCAAAATGAAGTTCACAACCCATTATATTATAGAACTGAACATACCGTGTGGATGTGCATGTTTTCTAAAACTGCATTTCTATGAAGAAAGAAGAATGAGAAAAACAGTTCACAACACTAACTATAAAGGGAACTTACTCAAGGCCGTGATAATGGCACCCAGCAGCTTTTTCAAAAGGCAAACTTCTCACTTTTCCAGGTGTAAGTTCTGGTGTCAGAAGAAAAGCATTTTCACTGAAAAGGGGGGGGAAATCCATTTCAACTTGACATCATTTATTTATAGAAAATACAATACATTCTTACAGCGTTAATTGGAACAATCTGTCACATTGGTAGCACATTGCTAAAGTAACTCCAGCACAACTAAGCCTCGACTGATATTAGGGTTCCATGTTGCAGGCGCGGAAACACACCCTGATACACAGGTGCCCAACAAGTACTTTTAGAAAGTGGGCAGGGCCAGGTGGAGTTTTTGCCTAGAAAGGCTTTTGATTGGCTGTGCAGGTTTCAAAAAAATGCTACTTTGGCAGCGTCTGCCACTATAGCACAAGGATCCTCACTGTGTGACTGAAGGTAAGATGGGGAAACCATTTTGTAGCTGGCTCCACCTCCTGCAGCAGCCATTCTGGTGGCTGTGCCCACCACCCTGCGTTGGAATTCCAAAAGTGCCCGCAGGCTCAAAAAGGTTGGGGACTCCTCATCTATACCCATACAAAGTTTGAGTCCAGTAGCACCTTTAAGACCAACAAAGTTTAATTCTAGGTATAAGCTTTTGTTTGCATGCACACTTCATCAGATCTGATGAAGCCTGCATGCACATTAAAGTTTATACCCAGAATTAAACTTTGTCGGTCTTAAAGATGTCACTGGACTCAAACTTTGTTCTGTTTCTTCAGACCAACACGGCTACCCACCTGAATCTATACCTGTACAGTTACTGTACCCAGAGAGTTATCATTTCAGAAAAGACACACATAATATGTGAAAAGGGGAATTGATGGAGAATGGTTATCTGCCAGGAGAGGGGGGGAGACAGGCACGACAAGGAAGTGCCAGGCAGTAACCACCCTGCCTCTGATGGCTTCAGTCACAGGGATGATAATAGGGACAAAATATTATGGATCTAATCCTCCAGGGAGCCCTCCTCTATCCCAAGGAGCCCTTCCACCAACTTATGTGGCTCTTCAGTTTTGTGTAGTGGTTAAGTGTGTGGACTGTAATCTGGGAGAACCGGGTTTGAATCCCCACTCCTCCACTTGCACTTGCTGATGTGACCTTGGGTCAGTCACAAGCTCTGGCACAGCTGTCCTTGAAAAAGAGCAGTTTCTGTCAAGAGCTCTCTCAGCCCCACCCACCTCACAGGGTGTCTGTTGTGGGGAGGGGAAGGGAAAGGAGTTTGTAAGCCGCTCTGAGACTCCAAGTGAAGGGCGGGGTATAAATCCATTCTCTTCTTCTTCTTCTTTTTCTACCAATGGAAGAGCACTTAAGTTAGAGGAAGGCTTCAAACTTTGCACAGTGGAGTGGGATGACAGAGACAGGATCCACCCCAATAGCCGTTGAAAGGCATACCAGACACATAGTTTGGCTGAGGCTGCAGGCACTACATGTACTAGCTGTGAAACCTTGTTATGATTTATGTTATTCACCATCTTCAGCACTTGAGCTTCCATTTTTTTAAAAATACAACCAGGGAAATTACTCTATCTTCAAGAGTTGGCTTCCTGGTTTTTCCCCCAACAGGATCTGCCTTGAGTCTTTGCAAGAAAGGCAGAGTATAAATGGAGTAGTAAATATAGTTTGTATCTGTAGTCTCAAGGGTCTGAGTGAAGGCCTGCTGTACTGTGTTCATGCATCCTTAACTCCAAATAAAGTTTTCTTGGGACTACTGAATATTACGCTCTTCTACAGAAGTGGCACACTGTGATCGTGAATTAAGATCACACAATGCTGTTCGGTTCTGTATTTTCCTTTAAAAAGATGCCTGGAGTGAATCTCAAAGTTTTACCTTTTCTGAATGTGCAAAGGCTGAAGGTTCCCAACCGGCTGCCCTTCTGGAGTGAAAAATTTCAAAAGCTCTTTAGCATCAAGTGATGTTGTTGACTCCTTTTGGCTATCTTTGCGCCCCAACAGCTGCTCGGAAATTCTAATAGGGGGGAAAAAACGGGTAAAAGAAGAGCTTCCAGAAAATCCAGCAAGGACAATGCAGACGACAGTAGCAATTCTTGTCCAGAGGGAGCAGCGCGATTTATACGTCTGAAGAGTTTGCACGTTGCGCAGCATTACCTTGGTTTTTGCTTCGTTTTTTCGAAATTTTCTAAGTTCTGGAGGACATTTCTTTCTGGCCACTCCAAAGGAGTTGAATGTTTCAGCTCCGATTCTGAGTCAAGAAAAAGGAAGGGGAACAAGAAAAACCCATCAAACAACAGCTTAATCAACTGCTAAATATTTTGCTCTATACGAAGTGGACACCAAGTCTCCCTTTAGGCCGAGTGAAAAGCTCAGCATAGCTTGAACATGAGATTGCTTCTAGACTGGCCCAGTAAAAGACATTCCTCACAATTCTCTTGCCTTCTGCAGTCTATATGGCAACAGGACTGGCCTACTTCGGTACACCCACGTACAGTGTCCTATTTGCTTTGGCTGTGCTTCGTAAACAAACCAGTGAATAGCCAGTAAGTCACATTAAGAACAGGCCTGGTGGCTCTGATGAAGGATTGCCCGTTTGCTCCACTGGGGCCTTCCATTTGGTTTGTCCACCAGCAACTGGTATTCAGGGCTTCCCATTTAGCCACCAAGGCTAGCACCCGTTGACAGACTTCGTTACCCTTCATGAATCTGTCCAATCCTATTATATTTATTTAGAGAATTTATAACTCACTTTTTTCAGAAGAAGTGTCCTCACAGGGAACATTATTTAAATACAACATTAAAAAAACCAGCAAAACAAATTAAATACCAGACAGAGAAAATCCAAACTTAACACCACAGCCAAAACCAATTACAGCCAAAGCATATGGGCCAGAGAAAGCCTGTTTTAAAAGAGCCAAGGCTTGGATCTAGCAAACTACAGCTAGTTTGCTCCCCAGACAAGAACGTCTGACAGGCAGTGGCCACCAGCTTAATACATGGTGGGATCATTAAAAGATTCTCCGCATGAATTGTTGGGACTACGGCTCACTGGTAGAATGTGTGCTGTACGTGAAAAGATGTAGATTAAACCCCGAACAGCAGGTGTTGAGGAAAGACCTTTCCCTGCCTGAGACCCTGGGGCACTGCTGCGTCAAAATGGACCAAGGGTAGGCCACCTTTTTTTTTGCTCAAGTGCCAAGATCCAACAACATCCACTGTATTTATTTAATTAATATGATTTATATCTTGCCTTTCTGCCCTTAAAAGGGCTACCAAGGCAGCTCCTCCTCCAACATTGGTGTTGTGCAATGCCAGGTCAGTGAATAATAAAACAGCGGTCCTTCGGGACTTTATTATGGAACAACGGGCTGACCTGGCTTGCGTGACCGAGACCTGGGTGTGGGATGGGGAGACTGTAGCCCTCTCCCAGCTTGCCCCATCTGGGTTTTCGGTCCTACACCAATCACGGATTAGAGGGCGGGGGGGAGGAGTGGCGATATTTGTACGAGAGGCTTACTCCTTCAGGGTGCTCCCCACGGCGGAGATTGCGGGCGTACAGTATGTTGGTCTGGTGCTGGAGGCCGAGGAGAGTTTGGCAATCTGGCTGGTGTAGGGAATTGGACATTGGCTGTGAGGCTTTTGCGAGCTATTTTGCGATTAATGTCTGACCCCCCGGCTCGGTCTTCCCCGCCACAGTTGATACAGTTAGTGAACTTGAGGCCCCTTGCACGGCTGCGCCGGGCTTAGAGGGCTTTGACCGGCTCAGCCTGGAGGAAGTTGATAGACTCCTCGTATCTGTGCGCCCAACCACTTGCGGCCTTGATCCGTGCCCCTCCTGGCTCATTAAAGCGGGCCATGAGGGGTTTCGAGGTGCCTTGATGGAAATTGTCCACAAGTCCCTCTTGGAGGGGCGATTCCCGAGGCACTCAAGGAAGCGTTGGTCTGCCTGGTCTTGAAAAAGCCAACTCTGGACCCGGCTGAATTGGCCAGCTATCGGCTGGTGTCCCACTTGCCCTATCTGGGCAAGTTGATTGAGAGGGCGGTGGCGACTCAGTTACAGAGCTTTCTAGATGATGCTTCCGTCCTTGATCCATTCCAGTCTGGCTTTTGCCCGGGGTACGGGACAGAGACTGTGCTGGTTGCCCTGACTGACAACCTCCGACGGCATCTGGATCAAGGTGGTGTGGCAGCGCTGTTGTTATTAGATCTGTCGGCTGCATTTGATACGGTCAACCACCAGCTGCTGGTCCACCGCCTTGCCGACGTGGGGATTCAAGGGCTCGCCCTTCAATGGCTTGCCTCTTTTCTCCAAGGTCGGGGACAGAGGGTTGTGCTAGGGGAGCAGCAGTCCCGGAGGCACCTGCTTGAATGTGGAGTACTGCTCAGGGGGCAGTACTCTCCCCGATGCTATTTAATATTTATATGCACCCCCTCGTCCAGATTGTCCGGAGGTATGGGCTTGGGTGTCATCAATATGCAGATGACACCCAGCTCTATCTGATGTT